TAATTGAGAAAGAAATTTTATGCTCTGTGGGGGAGGTGGTAGTTCTTCTGTAACTAGGGGGAATCGAGGAAGGAGACAAGGGGAGGTTGGGACCGCTTCCATCTTGAATCTATTAAAAGTTCGATCCCACTTCCCAAAATTCCTTCTCTTACGTCTTCATCTTCAATCACGCTCTCGAAAATTCCCTCCACCTCGCCACTGCCGCTAGACCCAGCAACCTCGATGTCGCCCTTCTATTCCCTTTCCGACAACTAATTTGAACTTTCTGAACTTAGCATATGCTTCGGAGTCGTTGTTATCGGGGTTTGGACTTAACCAAACGGCAGTGGATAGCTACTGATCGTGGCTCCTCCCTCCCCTGGTCAGTGGATCCTCTCTCTATGAAATGAGTAGCTATTAGCTTCTGCCAAGAATTAATTGGCAGCTTCACTGGTTTTCAAAGCAAATATACACACCTCACAAGACTGCAAACGAAACTGTAATGAAGAAGAACATAAGCAGACCTCATGATTGAGGAGCTAAACGGTCCAGTCCAAATCCCAAATAAAAAGTTTTAATCTCTGTTGCCACTTGCCAACACAAGGGAAACTGATCAGCACCTTAGCTTCAGCCATGAACTAATTATAACTGTGAGGATTCTTATAAGTTTACTCCCAACTTCCTTTGCAAATTCCTATGCCTTCCATGATGAATTCGTATTTGATATTCACTATTACTAATGTGATTTTTTTGTTCCTTTGGCAATTTTGCTGAGTTAATCCGACTGCATGCAGTATCTTTATAAGTAAATTAGTGATGCTTTTGATCATAGCTTAACTTTTTCTAGATAAATGTGTATCCATTTTGAATGCCCATTAGTGGATCCAAAGAACTTGACGGTTTCTAGCCACAATAAGGGTTTGATCTGACCATTATGGGACAATTAAGTTTGTTGGTTTTGAGTCGTATATCCATTTGTGTACTTTCTACTGCATGCCCGATATTAGTTCTAAATTATTAAACCGCAAGAATAGCTTTTTCATTTTATTTATCTTTCTCAAAACTCCTTCGTCCAATGGGTTGCTGAGTAATCTACAACCAAGCTTGATGACTGTCTCAACTAATCAAATCCATAACTGAGATTTAATCGAGACTGATGGAGTTGAAGGCAAATATCATGGTCCGATCTAGAAATAGAACAATTAGATGGAGGAATTTTTTAATGGGTAATTAGATGCACAAATTGATGTTGATATTAATGTTGATAAAAGGTAATTTCAATGATCATGGACAATATTATTAAAAGCGAGTTTTTACATAGAAACGTTTTGGTGATCTAGAAGCGTAAAATCGTAAGTTTTTAAGTTTTAAAGCAGAGTTTTAACTACGTAAGTTATAAGAATAGAGATTTTGTGTAGTTATAGTGTCCTAAAATCGTAAAATCGTAAGTTTTTAAATTTTAAAGCGCGATCTTAACTACATTGATCATGGGAACTGATAGTAAGGCCTTTTATTCAAGGCTCATCATATATTGATGAATATTGAATTCTATAATTGAAGCTATGCAACACACAATTTAGTCATTTTTCAATTAATCAATTATGATACTTTCACTCAAATCCAAGTAAAGTAAGCACATGGATGAAGTATATATGAGTTTGGATAACGGGTAGGTTTGGACATTGGATAGGATATGAAAGTACCATATGCGAATAATTTAACTAGAAGAGAGTATATATGTACAACTTCTATACTCCACCGATCAATAGAGTAAACCAAAATACACAGTGAGATTTTGTGCTCCACCGGCCAACGGGCCGGGTACAATGCTAGTTACTTACTATAATAATGACGGGGTGCATATCGAAGGGAAGCAAATCTTTGGTTACACCCCAACCAACACATTGGTTCGTTTTAAAATAACGAATCATTGCATCAGTTCAACCCATACATGATAGTTTGACCGGTTTGGTTGTTCCAACTGTCATATCGATTCGGTTTGATTCGGTTCAACTCGGTTTGGTTTAGTCCGTTTGGTTACACAAACCAATTTGAACGATTAACCACATATAACATCAAATCGATCGAATTCGAGGCCGTGCCTTCCCACATCTTATCAGCATGGTAATTCAAGAGATTCTTTTGGATATTTTCCCTTTCATTTCCATTCACACCATTAAAAACCAAAAAAAAGACCCTCTTCCATCGAGATTCCTTCCTAGGTCACTTTTTCCACCTGGATTTCGTTGTTGGTTTGGCCGTTTCTTGTTCAAGACTTTAATGGCCGTTGCCAAAGTTTCTCACGGTGTCCGGCAAAGTTGTCAGCACCCCCTCTTTCATAAAAAGGTGAATGTATGCTCAAATTAGGTTTCTAATCCATTTATGTCGACTTCACTATTCTCGACTTATGATTCCGGGAAATCAATTTTCCATTTTTCGCTTTCTTCGTCCAATAATGAATTTCTAAATTTTTATTCACAACTTAATTTTTACTTTTCTACCTTTTCATCTTCAATGTAAACAAAAAACTTTTTTAGATGCAGCCAGGGGCGGACCCTGGGAGATTTAAGGGGTGTCCCCGGACACCCCTAAATTTTGGGAAAACGATTATCCAACCCCAGTGGTAATTTACGTATGGATAAAAAAATATAATTGATAGTGAGGGACACTCCTTAAATTTGAAAAAATGACTATCTTACTGTCATTTGTGTATAGGAATATAAGTGGTAAGTTGGATATTTAAATCTAGAACACTTTTATTATTAATACACTTAATTTCTGTTGAGCTAAACTCATTTGTTGTTCGATTTTAAATAATGTGTAATAGTAAAATGGCATTCCCCATCTCTAATTATTTTAAAAACCTAACGATTAAACTAATTTCAAACTACCCTTAATTTGTATTGATTTTATGATTGTACGGCAAATTTTGAAAGAGTCTTTCAGCTTTGGGTTACATCAAGAACAAGTTTACAAATCGAATATGCGATAAGTTCGTGAATGATTGTCTAGTAGTGTATATAGAGACAATTTTTTTAAACACTATAGACACCAAGTGTATTCTACAATTATTTTCGAATATGAAAACACATCATGGACTTTTTTAACCTGTACGAGTAAGGTATTTTCATATTTACAATTTTATTTTATTTTTATTAATTAATTATTTTTATTTAATTTATTTTTTAAAAGAGGACACCCCTATAAAAAATTTCTGGGTCCGCCACTGATATTATCAATATATGATTTGGACTGTATTTGTGCTAAATATAATCAATATATGATTAATCCGAATACCAGAGATAGTAAGTTGAAACCCCAAACCCTATTTCTCCATATCATTTTTACTCTCAAATCTCACCTCATATTTCATCTTTTTTACTTGTCATTGATATTAACAGTATCCATAATAGTACGGTATTGTATTACGTACTAGGGCTGGCTATTTGGTCCCGAACTGTTTGGTTTTACCCGAAACTGGACCGTATAACCCGGACCGGGACCAGAATGGGACCGGATAGCAAACAATGCAATCTCATATTCGGGCTTAGATTTGAGGTAAAAAACCGGATAAAGACCGAATAAGAGACGCCCAACACCTAAAATCAAGATAAAATTGGGACCAGACCGGGTCAAGACCGGACTGTATCCAATCCAATCTTTGGTCCTTATATTCCTGAAAAGACCGGACTATGATCGGATCAATTTGGTCCAATTTAACCGGATCGGACCGTATAATCACCCCTATTACGTACCTCTGGATCAAATCGGTTGCACAATAGATAGAGAAACGATGGAAAATTGCTTAACCTTTACTTGATAATAGGATAAGAAATTAAAAACAAAAGGAAGGATGAAATGTATTCATTCAACTAATACATTGATAGAACTTTATAGGAAATATGAATAGAATTTCAATAAATAATATAGTCACTAAGCACGCTATTATTTGCTGCATTAACTAAAAACTAGAAAAAGGCCATTAAAGAAGGGTTGAACTAATCTACACAATATATATTAGCAGGAATGAGAAAAAACCACGTACTAGAATTCGAACCATGACCACTTTAAACTAATGAAAATAAAAAATCATAACAAATCATACTAAGTAGATTTTTTATATCTTTTTAAACTACATATATAATAGCAAGGAGGAAAAAACCCTTCCCCCATGTCAATTTTTTTCTCTTTCCTCTGTGGAACATGCCAACTTACCGTAGACATGCGGATTTAAACAAGTGCAGAAGTGTCAATTTTTTCTTTAAGCCCTTTTATTTCTCGATGGGGGGTAAATATATATGAAAAGGCAAAAACAATGCTCCTTTTTATTGCTAAAGGAAAAATATTTAACAATAAACTAATGCATGGATTCTAATGGCTAACCGCTAACCATAAAATAAAATAGTTGAATAGGCCCGACCTACACGAGATTTAGCCATCAAGTAAAACAAATGAACATCATGGGTTTGTCATTCTAAAACAAGCTATTTTCTCTAGTATAATATATATTATGCTATTATTTTATATCTTAGTGGCTAAAATATAATGTATTTTAAAGTTATTCAATGGTTCAACCTCGACCAACCAATTAGTCCAATTTTTATCATTTCAAATATATATTATGTAATTATTTGATATCATAATGATTAAATTATATTGTATTTTATAGGGAATTGTTTGGTATTTGTTAGTAAAAAACTAAACATAAAGATCTATTTTTTTTATTTTTAACATTAAAACGATCCTAAACATTTTTCGTTTCCTTTCGAATTTCTATGGTTTTATTCCCGAATTAGTGAGGGTAGTTATCATAAAAGGTCACAAAACTAATCAGTTTGTACAAAACGGTCACAAACCTTCAATTTTGCATGTTTTAGTAATATATTTTTTTGACTAATAACAAAAAGATAATTCCGTCCATCTCCATACAAAATTCGATTAGTTTGGTCCAATCAAATGTCTCGTCAGCATCCACATCAGCAAAATAATTAATAAAAAATAAAACAAAAATCAAATCAACCCTACCCACCAACCCAACCGATTCCTCTCCATCTCCGCACAACTGAGGAAAATCCGCTGCGATGTCTGCGACAAGGCGAAAGCCATCGTCTTCTACAGTGTTGACGAGGCTGCCCTCTGCTCCTTCTGCGACAAGGGCGAAACCACCCACGTCCCTTCCCAGGATCCAAAGGGCCGACCGATCAAGAACATTGTCTGGCTTAATTGGTTTTTCAATTCGCCTGCTGCCGACAGGTATCTAAAATGAGAAAAGCTTTGAAATTTGCTTCCATGGCGGAAGCCATTTCTCATAATTCTATTTCACAATACTTTAAGAGAGAAAGAAGAAGAAGAACAAATAGCTCTGATTATCGGTGGTGTCGGATTCAAAACCACATCGACGTCGGTCCAATTTGTCTCCCCCAATGCTTCAACTTTCTCTTCCAATTACAAACATTATCCACACATTTCCTCAACCTCGAATCCCTAATCGGGATCTTCCACTGCCCGTCATCGAATCCCTCCTTCTCTGCCTCTCGCAGATCCCACTCCAGTTGGGCCTTCTGCCTCGACTCCTGCAAGCAAACCCCTTGCAGCTCCGCCGACATAGAGTCATGGACCTTTCACCACTGCGGGTGCGCGACGTCACTGGCGAACTCGCTGAGTTCCAATTGCAGTCGTAATCCCTAAAACACAGCCACGGCTTCATCCCGAGGTAATGGAGCACGTAGAGCTCCGGCGAGTCCGACCTGAAGCGGTCGTTCTTCTTCCTCTTGACCTCTTCATCGTCGACGATCCAGAAGTGCTTCGGGAAGTTGAGCCAACGAGGGATTCGATGCCATCAGGTAAAGATCTCGTTCAGGTAGCCTTGATCGCCACTGTTGTAGGATTCGATGCCTCCATTCCCAACTCGACTCCTTCCCCTCTCACCTAAAATCAATCCCCCGCTACCCCTATTTCATATCTCCCTTAAAACACCAACTAACCCAAACTAGGATCCCAAACTAGCTCGGTTCACTTACCATCTCAAAGCTGTTACTTTCTTTTTGCTTTTCTGATTCTTGTCTCGCCCTCACTTGGGTATTGGAACAAATGACCCTTTGTTCCTTGTTTCTTGTTTGAAACCTTTTCTCCCTTTTCTGTTACTCTAATAATTATATAGATCACCCATATATAAAAAATAACATGAAAACTGAAGAAAAAAAATTCATTTCATACCCCTGCTGCCATACCTTCCTTCTTAGCTCTGCGGAGACGGTGGCGGAGAGTTAGAGGAGAAAGAGAGGAATGGGTTGGGTTGGATTTGGGTGGTGGGTTGGTTAGGTTTAATTGGTTTTTATTTTATTTTTTATTAATTATTTTGATGATGTGGATGCTGACTAGACAGTTGACTGGACTAAACTAACATAATTTTGGATGGAGATGGACGGAATTACCTTTTAGTTATTAGTCCAAACATATGTTACTGAAACGTGCAAAATTAAAGGTTTGTGACCGTTTTGTACAAAGTAAATAGTTTTATTACCATTTATAACAATTACTCGAATTATTAGTGATGTGCAAATGGTGAATTGCAATCATCTCTTTTCTTTCACTATTTTTATTTTCAAATAGAAAGTTTAAAAGTAAAGAATAATTAGAGTTTGGCATGGGTCGGTCAAACAGGCTGAATTTCAACTTTTGGCCCGTTTTGATCAAGTCTAATTTATAATCACATGGTTCCCTGATACCCGATAAAATCTCAATCCAAACCAGTTTGGCAGGTGACTCCGTGTTTACCACCATTTTCTAGGGATACAGGAACGACGGTTCATATCTCAAATCGTGTTGTTCGTTCTTGATTTCTTTAGATTTTTATCATGGCTTGGCAAAATAAGAAAGCACAATGACAACAAGATGAAAGTTTTATAAAGCAAATTAATCGTTCAACGGGCCGAGTAAAAGCTAGCAACGATTGTGAGATGCTCATTTCCCAAAAACCGGCGGGATAGGCGATTTTTTATTCAATTTTCTGGAATTCGTTTTTTACAAAAATTACTCCAACTCATCATATTACCAGAAATAATATTGTTTCACAAGGTAACAGGTACTTGATTTTGGTTCATAAGGCTGATTTTTTATTCGTTGCATCATTCATGTCTTTTTCCTGTTAAAATTCGCTATTTTTATCACGTGTTTCAAAAAAAACTATACAACAATAAGCTATACACCCCATTACATTATCAAATTTCATATCTTATCTTCCTCCGGCCAACTGGCCTGGGTCACGCTAGTTGTTTAAAAATCTAAATAGTCAAATAATTAAAGAAATGACCGAGATTTATGGATTGTAATAGTCACACGGTTGAGATAAGAATTTAACAAAAATCGCTTCTTGCCTATAATTATGGACAAGTTAGAATCTGAATAAATCAAGAAAGTATGTTATGAATCTCCTTATATATATAGAAGTTGATGCTCTAGTTAACATATCACTTTACCTCCAACAAAAAGCCACTAGAAAATCAAAATTAGTGAGAAATCAACCATGATGAAAAGGTTCTCATGGGCGATTATTTTCATACTTCTTATTTGTCTCTTCCATGGTAATTATCGATATTTTTATGGTTTCATGTCTCAAGTTTCATTTTGATGTACTTAGTATAAATGTCTTCTCTTAACAGTTAATTAAGGTGGTTTGATTTCATATGCGATTAATGTTTGCAATAAAATTAGGGAACGAGGTTGTAGCATTCCGCAGTCACGAATTTGGGCCGAAGACGGATTTTTGCGACAAGTTCACTTCTTTTCCTCAAAGATTTTTGCATATCCGAGGTGGTGGTTGCAAGGATTCAATATGCGACACTGCATGCAACAACATGTTTGGAGGTGTTGGAATATCTGTTGCTGGACGATGTGAGCAGCGTACTTGCGCATGCTACGGCTATTGCTATCATTTTAATGATCCTCCGCTAACAGATGTAAAATTAAATTAAGAAAAAGAGACTAATTTTTCTGCAACTAAATAAATAATTTGGCGAGCCTCCAATATTTATTGGTTTCTCAATAGTTACAGGTTATTATTTGGTAGAGTATTTCTTTGTATTTCCACTTATCTTTTTTGGTAAAATAGGGAATCTAGCTAGCTTCCTATTCAATGAAAAGTTCAATAGAAGTTGAGTTAGCTTATAAGTAATTATGCTTTTTTTTTTTCAATTTCAAGGCTCTAGATTTATGGGTTTTCCTTGTACCTCATCACAACATCACAATTAATTTAGGATTGTTTGGATAAAAGATTTGACCATGAGGGATTGTTTAGGGGATTTGACCCGAATCGTTCACTTAAAAAACAAGCTATTTAGCATCAGAGATTCCCGAATCTCTTGTTTGGAATTGCAAATGGGTTTTCCATAAAAAATTGAAAACATTTTACCCTATAAATCTCAATTCTTCTCTTTCCCTATCTTCTTCATCTTCCTGTCTCCGACTAGGCTACTCAGATCTAGAGACCACTTCAAAATCAGCTGCTTCTCTCTTCCAGAACCCCAATATGTCACCCTTTTGGCTGGAAACCCAATCCATTTCTCCCAAATAAGCAAACTTGAAAATTCTGTTTGTCTGAGAAAAAGTATTGAGATCTAATTCCATATGAACTTATTCCCTTTCCCTTCTCCACCGTTGGTCGCCAATCTTTTGCTCAATAGGTAGTACAACCCACACCTACTCCATTGGTGGTCGCCATTGTCCCCGCCGCCATCTAGAATTGAATGTGGGAAGCTTCTGTTGGAGAAATATGGAGTAAAGCAATGAAATATTTGGAGGGAGAAGGGAAAGGAAGCCATTTGGCGTACTACTAGATACCTGCAAATTGCATCCGAGATATCGTGATCCAACTTTGAACAATATTTGCACTTTATCGCATCTTATTTACGAAACTTTCAAAAAGTTGAATGGGCCTAGTATGATAGATCAGTGATATAGCGATCAAGTTGTGCGTCTTGCAAATCACTTGCTATCACACATATGAATCTAAGTTCATGTTGGACGTACTGGATTATCTTTTAAGTTCGAGAATGTTTTCCTCATTCTAAGATAAGAAAACTAATGAGAGGAGGTAAACATCGAGCACTTCTACTATGCTATAAAGTATTGGTGTTATAAGGTTTTTCCTTTATGGTACAACTTGAAATTGTACATTTAACGTTATGGTACAACTTCAAATTGTACCTATACTTTTTGTACAAATTCTTTTATGATACAACTTGAACTTGTACCTTTACGAAACTTTTTGTACAAATTCTTTATGATACAACTACAAACCGTTGAATAAGGCTCTGAAATGGATTAGGTATCCTATCCCCAACCAAAAGGATCTACTCCTGAAAATTTCACAGTCCCTAATATTTTCTAAATTTGACATGAAATCCGGATTTTGGCAAATCCAAATCAAAGAAATAGACCGCTCTAAAACTGCTTTTACCGTTCCCTTTGGCAATATGAATGGAACGTCATGCTGTTTGGTTTGGAAAATGCTCCCTCAGAATTTCAAAGAATTATGAATCAAATCTACTCTCCTTATTTTGATTTCATAATAGTTTATATTGATGATGTGCTGGTTTTTTCTTCGTCCATTGACCAACATTTCAAACATCTTAATCTATTTCTTGAAGTCACTCGACGTAACGGTCTGGCTGTCTCTAAACCAAAACTTTGTCTTTTTCAAACTAAGATACGTTTTTTGGGTCACTACATTATTCAAGGAACAATTGTTCCAATCGAAAGATCTCTTCAATTTGCAGATAAATTTCATGATCAAATTTTAGACAAAAATCAATTACAACGGTTCCTGGGTAGTTTAAACTATGTCCTTGACTTTTATCCCAACATCAGTCTTCTTTGTAAACCTCTCCATGATAGATTGAAAAAGATCCCCCCTCCCTGGAGTGACCAGCATACCAAAATAGTTCAGCAAATTAAGAGGCAGGTTCAAAGTCTCCCGGGCCTTCACATAAGTGATCATTTTCTCCCTAAAATCGTCGAAACCGATGCCTCTGATCTAGGATATGGAAGAATCCTTAAGCAGATTCAAAATGATAAAGAGTTGTTGGTACTCTTTACTTCTAAACATTGGAACCCTACCCAAATCAACTACTCCACTCTCAAAAAAGAACTGCTTGCTATTGTTTTATGCATCTCGAAATTTCAGCATGATTTGCTCAATCAAAATTTTTTACAACGCATTGATTGCCAATCAGCAAAATACATTTTGGAAAAGATGTTCAAATCCTTGCTTCTAAACAAATATTTGCACGATGGCAAGCCATCCTTAGCATTTTTTATTTCGACATACAATTTATAAATGGTTCTTCAAACTCTCTTCCAGACTTCCTTACTCAGGAATTTTTGCACGGAGGACGAAGTGGGGAAAACTCTCAGGCTTGCAATCTCCAGTCATAATGCCCCCTACTACTAGATTGCGAGATAAAGAGAAAATCAAAATCAAAACATGGAGAGAGATATTTGATGATGAACAAGGAAGCCCTGATCATTCAAGTGAGTATGAAGAAAGTTCTGATGATTCTGGTTCACACTCAAGTTCATCCAAAGCTTTAATCAATATTGATAAGCTTCCTCTTGAAGCCCAAAATTACCTTCAAAAATTTATTGCCGTTTCTGGTTCTAAACAAAAGCTTCCCACTGAAGCTTCAACTTCCTCAACAATTTCCCATTCTAAACTAATTCTTTCAAATACTCAAACGCCAAGTGGCATCCTACCCACACCCATCTCTTCCGAAGAAACCAAAAAAATATATCAGAACATCATCTTGATTTCGCACCTACCTCAACAGAGGTGGCATCTTCGATAGGCCCTCAAAACCGTTTTCCCCAAAACCCAAGAGGTGGTGGTTGTCCAAGCTCCTCAAAATCGATTTCAAACGTATTTTAAGAAAAACACTTTTCAACCCATTTTCGTTGTCGAAGATGGTTTCTACCATCAATATCCAAATGTTACTGCCAAACATTTCCTCAATGAGTGGTTCTTCAAACCAAGATCCCTCAACAAAACCCACAAATATTATGAACGTATCCTCACAGAAACTGGATCAGTCACCTTTTCCCAAAAATTTGATCCTTCAGACAAAACACTCAATACCCACTGAACCTGCAAAATCCACCAAATTATCCACCCTCGCCAATGGCCTACTAGCCCAAACACCAACCAAAAATTCCCTGCTACTATTGCTCTTAACCACCCGCAAATCTGCCAATCCTTCAATTACTGGATTACCATGAAGCTTGGATTAATGCCTTCTTCAAGCAAAACCATATGTACCGACACTCCTGGAGTTTTTTCTGGGATTACAAAACTCCCATTATTTTCCCCAACTCGTTTATGCACTGGTGGGATCTTTTTGGGCCAACTGAAAATATCTATACAACTGAGATACAAGAGGGATATCAAACTTTCTGTCAAAAATATTCTGGTCTAGGATTACCCTCCTCAAATTTTGTTACTACATCAAAGTTCCTTGGATTACTGCTTGGGAATTCAGTTACCAAACATGTGCCGTCACAAAGATACCCATGTTAGGCCGCAGCTTCAAAACCAAATATTGGGTTGCAAATCCTCGCCCAGAACAAGCCTACAAACCTCAAGTCCTTCAATGTTTCAATAACAATCCTGAATTGTCCAAAGTTATCGAAAAATCCTCAACACAATTTTTGCAAACAAAATCCTCAATCAGCGCTCTCTTAGCTGGCGCCAAGACTGAAGAAGAATACTTCCAAATTCTCAAAGATGTGGCGTCTAGCTCAACATCCGACACAGATTCCACGTTCCAAAACCATGACCCGGATGAAGAAGTGCTTGGTCATTTGCCAACAAAGAGCACTAAGTTGAAGACAAAGAAGAAGTGACCCCATTGCTTCATCCACTACCATAAAGACAAAGAAGAAGTGACTCCACTTCCAGTCCACTATCCTAAAGACAAAGAAGAAGTGACTCCACTTCCAACCTACTCAATTTGGTTATGGAAAGAAGATCACAAATTATCTATTTTTCTTTATATTAAAAATGTAATTTTGTTATGACATGTGACATAATCATATAAGTGTCCACATTGTCATCATTATTTTTTCAATTTATTTACCAAAAGGGGACTCCATTTCTCTATAAAAGGAGACTCCCTTCACTTGTTGTAAGCAGAGTTGTTTTGAGTGGGAAATGCTATCTTGCAAAGCTCCCTCCCATCATCTTCTCTCAAGAATTCATGTGTAAGAAGTCTATCAAACTATCAAGTTTTACTTCATCTTTTTCAAATCATCTTCAAATTTTATTTATTTCGTGCATAACTGGTCATCTCGAGTATTTATTTTATGCAAAAGTGGTCATATCCAGTATTTATCTTCTGCTAATCTGGTCATCTCCATTATTTACTTTTTGCTAATCTGGTCATCTCAAGTATTTACTTTTTGCTAATCTGGTCATTTCCAATATCATTTACTTTACAAACTATTTTCAAGTTAATCTCTTATTGGCTGTCTCATTTCGTCCTGACTAGTATCAGAGCCCTGGGGGGAAAGGGTTTGTCTAAAACTTCTTGCTTATTATTAGTTGAGAGATGGGTACCCCATGGTTAGATCCTAGCTGAGTCCTTTGTGAGAGAGTTGTAAGACCGTCTTTAGCCGTTAATCTATCTCACCTATAAGTTAGATCCAGCCTTTGTTTACCTTCTTTCCTCTATTCATGAGTTCGATTTTTAGACCTTCCTCTTCTTCCGCTAGTTCTGACATCACCGGGAACCGTGTGATCAACCAAAAAGAAATTAATTTTGAAACTGTTAGTAAAGAAATTGATAATTTGCAAATTCCTAGGATTGCCCAAAAGGAAATTTATGAGCAAATCAAATTTAACTTCCTCAATAAAATGGATAATAACATCAAAATCTAAGAAAGAGATATTCATCTTTTCAATGATTATGAAACCATCAAACTTTTGTCTCAAAAATCTATTCAACAACACAAAAAGAAGTACAACTATATCCATATTGGGTTAGTTCAAGTAGGGATTAAGCCTCTATCAAAAGAAGGCCTTAATACTGCTATTTTAATGGTTTAACGAGATTGTCGGTTTCTTGAGTTTAACGACTCTTTACTTGGAACTGTTGAATCAAGT